TACAAAAATTACAGAACCTACGTGGCGCGCAGGCCGAATAACTAATGAGCTAACTAATGTCTTTCGGTTGAATGCAGGGCGTGCCAACTCGTCGGCCGAGCTCGGCCGAGGAGTAAAATTTGATGCGGTCGCGTTGAGCGCGCTGTTGACTTCTGTATCTTGCGATTACGACCGAGTAAGGAACGCTCTCGGTCTCTGGATTCTATAGCCTGAAGACAAGGCTACTAATTCTACGGAGTTCACAACTCGTCGAAGCCTGATTCGGCCACTGTGATTATATTCGTAAGAGTATAAGCACGCCGAATTGAGACCAAACTATACGGGCACAGGTACTCGAATGTGATGTATGTCTTAATGGTAAACGTAGTTCGGCCGTCGGAATGCCGAACCCTGAAACTTACTTGTGAGTATCCAATCATAAACTCACTCGGCCTCCAATGCGCCGAGCAAGGTAATTCGTAACACCCAACTATGCCGAAACGGCTAAGTAAGATGACCTCTACCAACAAAGGTTCGAAAACCTTCCTCGGCCAAGACTTAGATAGATAATCGGTCGACCTCGACGCAGTGCTGTTTATCCAAACTGAAGGTGTGTCTTGGTCGGCTGATTCTGCGGCAGCAGTGCTGTTTATCCAAACTGAAGGTGCTCACCGGTTGCTTCCACAGTGCTGTTTATCCAAACTGAAGGTGTGTCGGCGGGAAAAGAAAAGGAAAAATCTCAAGGTGTTTGAGAGAATTTGCGCAGGGCAATTGTGTGCTGATTGTGGAGGGGCTTTCTATTGCGTAATTTCTTGTATTTATAGCACCTCGTTCCTTGATTCCCATTCTGATTTGGATTGGGAGTCCTTGTCCCATCTTACCTTTAACTCAAACAATCCCAGTTTTATTGGGATTCTGAATTCTCCTACTTTTGAGGTTCTATCCCTTGCCGGTCGAGAATCCTGGTTGCATCAGGATTTCCTAGACCTTTCCTCATTTATCTGGACTACTTAAGATCGGATCTGGCCGACCCTGCCAGCTGGTCCGAGTCTCATTACTTGGCCCATAGCATGTGTTATTACCTTGGGCCGAGCACATCCTGCTGCTCGGCCCAATCCCAATATTTTGGGCCCAAACACCAATTGAAAACAAAAATTTACATGATAAGATTTCAACACGATTGGTCCTTTAGCATGTAGTGAGAGTGTATATAATCATAACATCACCCCAAGTCTATCTAAGATATTTTCCTGCCATGTTTTTCTTAAGATAATGTAAAATATCTCTAGTCCATTGCTTAAATAACGTCGTAGCACGAAGTATTATCATTAGCTGCAACGGTAAAATTTATCGGGACGGTGTCGCAGTTGGTTAGGGCGTAAGTCTTATAGTTTCTGAGTTATCCTGAAGTCGAGAGTTCGAGCCTCTCTCGCCCCATTAGTATCACAAATCTAGAAAGCCAAAGCTGCTAGTTTCCACAACTGAGACGAAATTTCACCCATCAAATTACACAAAGACGTTGTTTTAATGTATAGATTTTCTATCATTTAGTGTATTTGAGGTCCGGTGTTCGAAACTCATACTCATAGTTTAATGTAGGGTTTAGGCCAACCAAAATTGGTGCCGGAATGAGCTGAATATAGGACTAGCCAAAGCTGCTAGTTTCCACAACTGAGATGAAATTTCACCCACCAAATTACACAAAGACATTGTTTTAATGTAGATTTTCTATCATTTAGTGTATCTGAGGTCCAGTGTTCGAAACTGATACTCATAGTTTAATGTAGATGTTTTTTTTTTTTTTTTTTGTAGAAAAAAACAAAAAAAAAAAACAATTGTTTTATTTTTTGGCCAACCAAAATTGGTGCCGGAATGAGCTGAATATAGGACCTCAAGTGTGTGTGCATCGCTAAATCTTCTAAACCGACCAAACTGTAAACTCTTGCACCTGAAGACATAGTTGGTTTGGTACCCTTTTGGACAATGGACATGTTGAAGAAATGGGAAGAACTTGTCGGTGTTTTGGGATATGTAAAAGTCCAGAAACTTGGGAAACCCTTCATTCCTCTCTCTAGTTCCTATTTTTTGCATTGAGTTGTTTGTACATCCATTTTACCTTTCTATAGTTTCAAAGAACACAGAGAAGTAAGGAGAGGGCATATGATATGAGCCACTTTTAGCACATGAAAAGAGCGAGGGGCCATATTTTGGATTTTGCTATGACATAAGATCTCTTTGTAGCCAATATCTTCTTTCATCACTGACAAGAGTAGGTTATCAAAAACACAAATAGATATTTTTTTAATGAGGAATGGGGGATTGTATAACTTGTAAGAAGTCATGAAGGACAAACTGAAAGCTTTCCCAAAATCATAGGGTTGCACCAAGGCTCAACTTTAAGTCTTACCTTTTTGCTTTGGTAATGGACAAGATAATGGGACATATTCAAATCTTACTTTTTGCAAATCATATAGTGTGGACAGATGAAATGCAGGAGAGAGTAAATGTGAAACTTAACATTTGACGGGAGGTGTTAGAATCTAAAATAACATTTGACGGGAGGTGTTAGAATCTAAAAGTCTTTGCTTAAGTAGGTCGAATACAGAGTATATGGAGTGCCAAATTCATTGGAAATGCAAGTCCAAATGAGATAGGTGTGAAGATTGGAGATCAAGAAGTACAAAGAGTGAACGCTTTTGTTATCTTGGATCTCAACCATAGAATACAAGTTGGATGGATGAAGTAGAATAGTGCATTGGGTGTGTATTGTACGATTGTTGTATGCCACTAAAGCTCAAGGAAATTTTTTATAGAACGCCAATAAGGCATTCAAAGCTTTATGACACGGAATGTTGGGCCGTCAAAAAGCAACACATGCAAAAAATGAGTGTCATGGATATGAGAATGCTTCGTTGAATGTGTGGGCACACGAGAAAGGAAATGATTAAGAATGAAGGTATCTGAGTAAAGCAGTTCAAAGATAGACTAACAGTAATATGAAATTGTCAGGTATGAAAGTGATATGATAAAAGTAAGTATAGTAAAGTGAGATTCTTGCAAAATTTGAGGTATTCAAGTGAAAATTAAGATATAAGCAACCCCTTTTGATCTTGATAAATGACCAACCAATTTATCTATTGACAAAAGTGGGGCAACTTAATTGTGATTATTGACCAATGAAGTCATTGTCTAACCATTATTTGTCATTAAGTCATAATCGATTAAGACTACTAATAATAAGTCCAGTAAGCACATAAGTTTTAGTGTTGCCAGTCATTTAAGAAAAATCGTGCTACACTTATGATTTATTTGTACTATTATTTATACTATTTTTTAAATAAAAGTATGGCTCACAAAATATGTGAACCCTATCTATATTAAAGAGTTGATACACATGAATGGCAAGAATAGAATTTTTTTAGTGTAAATTACATAAAACTACCTCAACTATTAGTCATTAATAGTTTCATACCTCGCCTTTAAAAAGTTTCAATGTCATACCTCATCTACGAATTTGTTACAATTTCATACCTTCCGTCAGTTGTCTGTCAATTCTTCCGTTAAAATGCTGATGTGGCAAGTGACGGGACCCATTTTCCATTAAAAAATTAAAAAAAATAAAATCATTTTTTTTGGCATGGGGACCCACCCCTTCCCTCACCCTTTCTTCCGTTGCCCCCCTTATCCCACCCAAAACCTAGATCCCTTCCCTGCAACCCCCGACCCTTTCCCCGCCCACGCCAACATCTCCACCCACCACCACCTCTTCCTCCCCCGACCCCTTCCCCACCCACGCCAACATCTCCCCCCCCTCCCGACCCACCACCTCCTTCTCTTCTTCTTCTTCTTCTTCTTCTTCTTCCCCATCCACCCGTGTCTTCCCCCTCTCCCCCCCCCAACACCCCCAACCTTCCTTCACCACCCCACCGTCGCCTTCTCTTCCTCCATCTCCACCTCTTGCCATCTAACCCATGGATCCCCCTTCCCTCCATTGATCTGCACCCGGAAGCGCGAAACGGCGATGTCAACCTGAACCCAGACGGGATGTTTGTCGGGTTGGGCATGTTCAAGAGCAGCGACCCGGTGAAGTGGGCGAGGGCGATTGTGCAGGCGGTGACGCACTCTCGGGACTCAGATGTGCTGGCGGAGGTGAGCTACAGGTTGGGGGAGGTGATGGTGGGGTTTAAGAGACTGTTTGGATGGATTAGTGGGTTTAAGGGACTATTTGGATGGATTGTTGATGTGATGTTCCTCGTCAGCGTGGATATGGGGAAGAGAGGGCGGCGGTGGGGTGGTGAAGGAAGGTTGTTTTTTTGGGGGGGGGGGGGGCAGGAGGGGGACATTGGTGGATGGAGAAGAACAGAAGAAGAAGAAGAAGGGGGGACACGGGTAGACGGGTGGGTCCCCCATATCAAAGATATGATAAATGAATTAGGAACCAAAATGCCACAATGGCGATGAACCCAAAAAAGAGGAAAGGAAAACTAACAAAAAAAACTTGAAAATTTTGAATTTTAACGACAAGGATAAAATAAAAGGTAAAATAAATAATATCATAATTGACTTTTTAGTATAAAAATATAATTTTTTGTTAAAATGAACAAGAAGTTTTTCGTTAAAGTTTCAAAAAAAAAAAAAATTAAAAACACGTCACAATGACATTGACAATCAATTAGAAACCAAAACAGCTAAGATAAACTGTAAGTTGGTCTTGCATTCACATTGAGCCCAAAACAGCAGAGGATCCTGGTAAAACCGCGTCGCAAGGGGAGTTCTACACAGTGGTGGACACTGCCTAGTTGCACCATGTGACTGATCTCACCTTTGCTCCTTTAAAATCTACCCTCCTCCACTCCTTCCTTCTCTGATTCACTTCTCTGCATGTTCAACAACCTATATACAATTCCTCTCTCTCTACTCTCTCTACTCTTTTTCTCTCTCTCTCTCTCTCTTCTGTCTTTGTGTATACACACACACAGTGTTTCTAATTGTAGATCCAGTCCAAGCTTTGAGGTGGAACAAGATCTTTGAAGGGGAAGGGGAAGCCCCTCATCGGTTCAGAAATGGCTCCACTCATGCACTTGAGTTTCAGAAAGGTACTCCTGCTTTCCTCTGCTCTTGTCTTCTTCTTGCCTACTCTCCTCCTTTCTGCCCACTCTGAGTCCGTTGAGAGCTCACACTCTGTTGCCAGTACAAGGAAAATCTTGTTAGAATTAGAAATCGACCCAGACCAGGACCTGCCCAAAAAGACCAAGACCTCCACCACCACCAAATCCTCAAAAAACCAGACCAAATTGATCAAACCCACCTTGTCATCCTCAAAAAACAAGACCGAATTGATCAAACCAACCTTGTCTTCCTCGAAAAACCAGACCAAACTCCTCAAACCCAATCTGTCTTCCTCCAAGAACCAAACCAAGATTTTGAAATCCACCAAGAATGTCCAGTTGAAGCTGCTCAATCCCACATCAAAACCCTCAAATTCCACCAAACCCGCATCAAATTCCTCGAAGAAAACCTCAGATTCCACCAAACCCACATCAAATTCCTCGAAGAAAACCTCAAATTCCATCAAACCAAGCTCACCCAAGAACCAAACAACCAAACGCACCACCCCAAAACAATACCACAACCTCGTCGACAAGAAAAAAACCACCGACACCAAAAGACCCACCCAACAAAAACCCAAAAAACAAATCGAACCCAGCTGGATCGACCAAGAAGACGACACCGATTTCGTGTCGGATTTCACCGACTTACCCGGGAAATTCCAGCAATCCCTAATCCCAGATTTGGAGAGAATCTCGACCACCTCGAAGAATTACCTCACCAAAGCCAACAAACAAATGACGAACCAGTTCAAGCCCATTGTCGGCAACAAGTACGCTGCCAGCATCGCCTCCGCCATGTCGTGCGCCTTCCTGTTGATCCCTCTGCTGTTAGTCTCTCTCCTCTTCAACCGCATCAAAGCCTACTTCTCTCTCCAAAAGCTGTTGATCTTCGTCCAAGTCTACCTCTCCATCTACTTCTCCATCCTCTGCCTCTCTGCTCTCGTCACCGGACTCGAACCTCTAAAGTTTTTCTACGCTACTTCGCAGTCCACCTACGTCTGCCTGCAGGTACTGCAGACTCTCGGCTACGTCTTGTACCTGCTGCTTCTGCTCATGTACTTGGTTCTGGTTTTCTCGACCGATTCTGGGCTGGGCTCGAAAGTGTTGGGCCTGGCCCAGATATTCGTGGGGTTCGCCGTTGGGCTTCATTACTACATGTCGGTGTTTCATAGGGCTGTGCTGAAGCAGCGGCCCAAGACCAACTGGAAGGTGCATGGAATATACGCCACATGTTTTCTTGTGATTTGTCTGTTTGTCACCGCCGAGAGGAGGAAGAAGGGTTACTTGGAAGAGGGAGGTGAGGAGGGCAAGAAGAGTTAATTTTTTACTCACGGAGGGTTTAAACAACCAATGAAATTCTTGGTATACAAATCAAAATAATAAAACCACTTCAATTGGTTTAGAGCTTGTTGTTTGTAACTTTTGTAATTTTATTTTTTTTAGATTTAAAGTTGGAGTAATGTTAAAAAGACTAAATTTTAAAACCAAATATATAAATCAAATGATGTATCACCAATAAGAAACAATCATGTTAATCAACACTTAATTAATAATCCAATTACTACAACCATATCATTTGGTTTGCAAATTTAATTTTAAAAATTTGTTTTCCCTAGCATTACTCTTAAAATTGTAGTTAGGGAGAATTTATTATTTAGGGTTATTATACAAAATGGTCCATGAGATTTGCATGATCAATAGAAATGGTCCCTGAGATTGTCCACCATCCATGATTTTGGTCTTTCTGTTAAAAATGATTTTGGGTAATTTTCAAAACTTTGTAACTCAATCGTTTCTTAACCAAATTCGACCCATAATATATCAAAATGAAGATAGAAAAGTGTAGAATAAGATTATACCTATTTGAAAGCCCAATGGTTGCTGGAGAAAGCCGAAAAATAGCCTGAAAGGTGACTGGTCCGTGGGAAAACTGGAAAACTCCCCGGAAACTGGGTAAACTTTAAACGTTCCTAACTTCTTCAATACTCAACCAAATCGAGTGATTCAAAAATGAAAATAATACTTCTTGACGAGACCAAGAGAACGGTACCTTTTTCGAAGGCTATCTCGCCGTGGTTTGGTCGGACAACGGCTCGAAAGTGGCTAACCATTTTCGAGTTAGCCACTTTCGAGCAGTTTTCCGGCCAAACCATGGCGGGTTAGTAGTAAAGAAAGATACCATTCTCTTTGTCTCATGGAGAAGTATGATTTTCGTTTTTCAATCACTCGATTTTGTTGAGTATTGAAGAAGTTATGAACGCTTAAAGTTTACCCAGTTTGCTGCGAGTTTTCCAGTTTTTCCACGGACCAGTCACCTTTTAGGCTATTTTTTGGTCATCTCTGGAAATAATTGGGCTTCCAAATAGGTATAATCTTGTTTTACGATTTCTTATCTTCATTTTGATATATTATGGGTCGAATTTGGTTAAGAATCGATTGAGTTACGAAGCTTTGAAAATTGCCCAAAGAGTTTTTAACGGAAGGACCAAAATCATGGATGGTGGACAATCTCAGGGACCATTTCTATTGATCATGCAAATTTCAAGGACCATTTTGTATAATAACCCTATTATTTATTATAACATAATCCCAAAGTGGCAGGGAATAATTCCATTGGCAAAGCAAGTGCAACCACATGATGTTGTTATGAAATAGAATATGCAAGTAGGACAAATTGTTACATATTTGTTATAGCACTCTAATTAAGTAGTAATCTTTTCATTTGTAACTAAAAGGTTTTACATTGGACTTCCGTTAATTTTTCTAAATCCTTCACTTTATTAGTGTAATTAATATTAAGAAAAACTAAGGAAAAGGGTTTCAAAACTTTGCATTTTAACAAAAGACCATTTAATAACTTTATTAATGACAAGGACAAGAGAAAGAAAATATTTATAAAAAAATAAAAATAAAATAAAAAAAAATAAATAAATAAAAAACTGAGATTAAAGCGTGTACAACATCCACCCTTTTTTCTTCCATTCTCGCTTGGGATGGTAATTTAACCCGTCAAATCCGATCCCAGCAAGTAACCGATTCAAATGGTTTGGTTTCGAGCATTAAATTTCGGGTATTTTACGGTTATGGGTAACCATTGGGTAAATTTTCGGTTTCGGGTTTGGTTATGGTTATTGGGATATTCACTTCAAACCCATACTCGAAACCAAACCGTTTCATTTATTAATAAAAAAATATAAATATTTATTATATGAAAGGTAATTGTTAAAGTCATGCATTGTTAAATATGAAAATTAATTATTTACTTTTGGATCATTAATAAATTATATGCTTTTAGACTTTTAGTTTTCAAGAGTGTAAATGTTTTCTTAGTAATATAAACATTTAAAAATACTTATTAGATCTATTGTATCAATTGTATTAATAATAACGGTTTATTTAAAATCGTTTTTATTTAAAATTCTTTATTTAATTAATAATATAAATATATAAATATCATAATGGAGAAAACCATTCTCCGATGAAAAATTTTTTACTCGACGGGTTCGATTACGGTAAAAACTCGTTCGGAAATTTTACGGTTTCGGGTTTAGAGAAAATAAACGAGTTTGGGTATGGAGATGGCACATCTGAACCCAATCCGCTCTGAATATCTTGCAATTAATTTGGTAATTAATCCCAATTTGAAAAGAATAATTGGGAGTTACCTTGTGGGTGAGGATTTGATGAGGAGTGATGAGACGGTTTTAAATAAATATCATTTTGATCACCTTTAACCTCGATTGATCCGTTATTGCTTGTTGCATGTGCGCATGAATCCCGGTATGCCTCAAGGGTAATTTTGTTTATTTTACCCAAAAGTCCACGTGTCGCCTCCATACTTTTATTGATTATTTTTTACTCCAAAAATGCCCCCACACATGTTGGGTTGCTCACAGGAAAGGGCAGCAGGTGTAGAGATCTTCTCTTGCTTTAGGAAGCATATGATTGTTTCCTATTTTGATGTATATTCTCTCTTTAATTGGAAATTAGATCATTCCAGGAAAGGGAAATAAATTACTTCCAAATTCTATTTAAGTCTACCTTAAGTAGGCTGGTTTGGTATTGCTGTGCTTTGAAAAAAAGCTGCTTCTGCTGTGCTGTGAGAATAAGCAGCTGTGAAATAAAGCAACAGAGTGTTTGGTAAACTTTTTTGTAAAATTGCTTTTGAAAAAAAAAAGCAGTATTATAGTGTTTGGTAAACTTTTATGTAAAACAGATGTGAAAAAAGCCAGTTTTTCAAAGCTGGGTTTTGCAGCTTCTTGTTTTTGGCTTTTTTTCACCTAAAACTGTGAAAAAAAGCTGAAGCTGAATGTTTACCAAACACAAAAATAGCTTCCAGCTTTTTTCAGAATCACCTCAGTACTAAACCAGGCCTAAATCAACTTTAGAGATTAATTTATTCTACCCTACATGAGAGAGAAAGTTACAGGATATTTGTTCCCCCTCCCCTAGCAATCTTCTACACTTGCCCGTGCAAATGACTGTCTTTCATTACTTTCTTTGTCTTCACATTGCATTAAGAAGACAAGAAAATTTTAATTTTCCTTGTCTTCTTAATTTTTGCGAGCTTCGAGGCTTGAAATTTGGCTCGACTGGGGTCGAGAAGGCGTGGAAAAGTGGCTGGAAAGTCACGGTGAGGCTGCTGTTGTGGGTTGCTCGATGCGGCGGCGGTTGGCTGGGCCAGGTGCGACTTGGCTTGGGTCGAGCTAATGGGGCGCTAAGGCGTTAGGTTGAACCTGGCACAGGCCAGGTTGATGCAGTGGTTTAGACCAAGAAGGCGTGAGCCTCCTTATTTGCTGGGCTTAGGAGGAAGGCGGAAGGGCGCCATCATCTCTTCAGTTGGACTGGGTTGTGAGGCCTTTGGGCCAAAAAGAGAGCAGCGCCTGGCACGCTGGGCTGCCTGGCGTGTTGTGCCTCCTCGTGCGTTGGGCCGAAAATGAGAGATGGAAGCCAGCGCGGGCTAGGCTCCCTTGACTGCTGTCTTTGGGCTATGAAGCTTGATACCTCTTTTTTATTTTATTTTATTTTTGGCAGCTGTCTAAAGAATTTTTTCGCATCTTTGAAGAATTTCCTTGAGCATGTTTTCTTCAAGCCACAAGGGTGATGATGGAGTGCTGCTGCTGTAGCGTTAGAGCGGGTCTTTGAGTAAAGTGGGCTACTTCAAGGCTGTTCACTTCAAAATTAGCTTTGATGACTCGTTTAGAGACTTTCTTGAGGCATATAGGCACTTCATTCCGTCGAGGAAGCATGTGAAGTGTGTCAAAGAAGGTTGCAGCTATGAGCCATACAGTGGGGCTTAAAGAGCTATCAAGTTTCACCCCTACTGCTTTGTGTTGGAATTTACTTTTCCCATGCCGCATTTCTTCCAAGAAATGCTTTGATCTATGAAGTGTGCCCCCGCACAATGTTCTCTAAATGCAGTTTATGTGATGGTGGGGTTCCTCAATCTAAGCCAATTCTTCGAGTTAGATTTGACCATCAATGAATTTTGGTACTTCTTTGACATAAGCCAACACGACTGGGCCAAGAAAACCTTGGAGATCAGCGGAGAGTGGGAGTCTAATTCTTCCCATGAGCTGCGCGTTCTAACGATTTTCATCACTGCTTAGTTTTTAGGTTGCTTTGTACTTTTGCTGACCTGCTTTCTGATTTGTTGATTGTCCTCTTCTGCTTATGTAGATTCAAAATTTCACTCAACTCCCAAGACTTCTCTAGATATGAAGAAGGTGCATGTTGCACTAGGTATCCCCTCTGAGTATTGTTAGTGGTATTGGCTACTCAACCCTATTCGCCAGGAGAAATGTGGGTTGCCCCGAGAGAGGAGATAAAGCGAATCAAGGCGGAGGCATTGGCTCGTCCGATTGCTATCGTGGAGCCTGTTGTGAATGAAGGTGGAAAAAATAGATCTTCCCCACCTGCCCAAGAGATGCCGGCTGAGAAGAAGCCCAAGACTTCCTTCGCTACTCATGAAGGTCCGCCTGTTGCTGATAAGCTTATAATTAACTTAACTTCTTCCGAGGGGAAAAAAATGAGATTGCTAAATCTGAGCCAATGATGCATGTCGTGCCAAATGTCGTTAGTATGATTGCTGATAGGATTGTTCAGCGTAGAGGTTCCATCGTGCCCTAGTGCCTAAATTTATGCCAAAACGTTTGTCGGGGGCTAAGTCTGGTTCACCTTTAGAGAGACTTGCTACTATGGAGAGCGATAAAGTGGACTTTGTTGGTAAAGTGGTGCCAAAGCCTACTCCCCTTATGATGAGACCGATTCACTTGCTGAGAAAGAGGAAACTGTTTGCGCAGGTAGTTGTGAGAAATCCACCAAGCTTGTTTCTGTAGAGGCTGCTGAGACTTGTGCGCTCTTGAAACCAGATCTACTTGAAGACATGGAAGTGTATGCCAA